AGTGTCTTATTGATTATTATAATCTGATTATGAAAATTGGATTATATTATAATATTTTAACTCCTTTCTTTATTACTCCTATGACATTGCAGTGGCTAACAAATAAACAGTGGATGCCAGATAACTTCAGGTGCAGTAATCACTGCTGACTCCTGTCAGGATTGTCCAAAAAAGTAATTTAAATATCTGTCTTGTGTCATAAGACACTAGTGCTATTTGAGGATTTTTCAGTATCTTTGGTGTTCGTTTGTACACTGGTGTAGTGAGATTGGAACTAGAAACATTTTTTCTTTTGTGGCGTTCCATATAAAAGATGTTTTTCAAAACATTTTTAAATTTTCCATTAGCAAGAGGAGTGTTAACACACACCTTTCATTAAATGTGGGAGAGATTTGATCTGGACATTGTTCCACCAGAAGTGACTGACATTAACTTTGTGTAGTTATTATTAAAGTGGGTGTTTAATCAGGACCTAATTGTACTAAAAATGTCAGATTGTCACATCTTCAAACGTTAGACAGAGTAGGGGACTAGTTCCCCTGGGAAGTCTGCCTTGAGCCAGTGTAGTCTGTTTCATGTTTTCATGTGTGGGTGGATAAGTATCATGCTTCTCCAAAAGACAAAACTATTACAGACTGATTCCGCACACCCCCACAGCCCTCTGGATAGTGACAGTGTGTTAGAAAATACCTATCAGAAAGCCTTTTCCGCATCCTTTTCATCATGGGGGAAGTTCATGGGGACAATCTATGTGTTCAAGGAGTGCTGAGAATGGGGATGAAATAGGCACTTATATTCTCCCTGTAATATGTTATTGTCAGCTCTTCTTTCCATGAAGAAAATCACTGCTTTCTCCTGCTAGTATGTATCTGTGTTTTTTGGCAGAAACAAAACGAAACTTGAAGTAGTTTCAGAGTTCTTCCCCTCTGCCCCCCAGCAAACACATGCTAATCCAGTATTTCAACAGAGTATAGTAATCCTTTGCAGTTAGCATGAAACATTGTCTCCTCTGATAAAGCTGGAATGTATCTCATACTGCAGCTGTGTGGTCTTAGTCCTAGGCTCCATATAACCTCTTCACAGAATCACAGAGGGGTTGAGGTTGGAAGGGACCTCTGGAGGTCATCTGGTCCAACCCCACTGATCAAACAGGGCCACCTAGAGCTGATTGCACAGGACCGTGTCCAGATGGCTTTTAAACATCTCCAAGGAGGGAGACTCCACAATCTGTAGGGGCAACCTGTGCCAGTGCTTGTTCACCCTCACAGGGTAAAAGTGTTTCCTGATGTTCAGAGGGAACGTCCTGTGTCTCAGTTTGTGCCCATTGCCTCTGGTCCTGTCAGTGGGCACCACTGAGAAGAGCCTGGTTCTGTCCTCTTTGCACCCTCCCTTCAGGTATTTGTACTCATTATAACAAGATGCCCCTGAGCCTTCCCTTCTCTAGACTTAACAGCTCTCTGAGCCTTTCATCATAGGAGAGATGCTCCAGTCCCTCAGTCATCTTGGTGGGCCTCTGTTATATGTCCATGCCTCTCTTTGTCCTGAGGAGCCCAGCCCTGGACACAGCATTCCAGGTGTGGCCTCACCAGTGCTGAGCAGAGGGGGAAGATCACCTCCCTCAGCCTGCTGGCAATGCCTTGCTGGATGCAGCCCAGGATGCCATTCCTTTTCTTTGCTGCAAGGGCCCATTGCTGGCTCATGTTCAACTTGCTGTCCACCAGGATCCCCATGTCCTATTCTGCAAACTGCTTCCCTGCTGTGTGGCCCCCAGCATATGATGGTGCCTGGGGTTGTTCCTCCCCAGGTGTAGGACTTTGCATTTCTTATTGAACTTCATGAGGTTCCTGTCAGCCCGTTTCTCCAGCCTGTCCAGGTCCCTCTGGATGGCAGCCTGGCATATCAGCCACTCCTTCCAGTTCGGTGTCAGCAGAGAATGTGCTGAGGGTATGCTCTGCCTCATCATCTAGGTCATTAATGAAGATGTTAAACAGGACTGGACCCAGTATTGAGACCCCTGGGGGTACATCAGTAGTCACTGACCTCCAAATAGACTCTGCACCACTGATGGGCTCCCCCTGGCCCGTTGTTTCATCATAGAAGTTTATGAAGTTAATCAAGCCTGACTTGCCCTTGGCAAATCCATTCTGACTACTCCTGATGACTTTCTTGTCTTTCATGTGCTTGGAAATGGTTTCCAGGAATAACTGGTCCATCAGAAATAATTTCTACTCTTCAGAAAATTTTGAACAGTCTGGTCTCTCTTGATATTACACTTCTCTTGATTTGTCTTGCTTGCTCTGTAAATGTGGCTTAATTTCATGAAGTGTTTTCAAAGGTGCTGTTCTTGACTTTCTTATCATTCTCATATCCTCTATTCCTGCAGCTGAACTCATTGATAGGAGTTACATGTTTTAATTTCCTGCAGCTGTGAAAATCTGATGGCTTGCTATGCCTGTGAAATGTTGGTGGAGTTAAATTTTCATTTATTGGAGTGTGTGTAAAAGTATTGTATCGTATGGGTTCTTTCTTGGAATATCTCATGCAATTAGCTTTCCTCTCCCAGCTGACAGGGAGGAAATGGCAGGGAAACCCTGGATGATATTAGATGTTGGGGGAGGGGAATGTGAAGGTACTAGATGGGTATGGTCAGCATAGCTCTGGCAGGGCTGATTGAAATGAGCTCTGCAAAGAGCCCTCATGCAACCTCTGTGTGAAACCACTTCAGCGTGTCTGTATTACTCCCTTGGTTCTGAGATAGTGTTATAGCTGGGTCTTGTGCTCCACCTGGGTTAATAAACCTTTCTGGAACCTAAGCCAAAGTACGGTAAATTTGAGTGGCTCTGCAGCAACCAGCGTGGGATGAGCAGGTTTGGGGCAGAGCCAGAACTAATAAAAGCTGCTCGTCTGAATTGGCTCTGAGGAGATCTAGCTCTGGGTTACTACTCGACTGAAGGCTGAATTAGGACTAAAAGTGATATATAACTTTGTCTTTTTTTTTTTCATGTAATTTTTAGCTGTATCATTACCTACTCTTTCATCCTTAATTTATTTTTAAATAAACTTTGAAATAAATTTTGAAATAAATGTTTTAATTTTAAAAATAAGGATAATCACATTTCACAGCTTGGAGGAGTGTATGTGGGGAAATCCTGCTTCACATTATAGTAAACTTCTATTGAGATAGTACTTGTTATAGTGAACTTCTCATTTATGGACATCAACTCATCTCTTCTGCTTTCTTTTAGAGACTTGCTTCCAGTCTTTTACCTAAGTTGATCTAAAGTGATTTATATCACTTATTTTTTTCCTTTTAGTGTAAAGACTCTTTTTGAGTAGGAAGGAAAATGCGTGTATTGCAGCATGCAGAGTGTGAATTTAAGTGTGGCTACCTGTTGAAGAAGTTCTGTCAGTATGGTAGAGGCAAAATCTGCTTTATTTTCTATGTTGTATAATTAAGAATAGTGTAAGTAAGAATAGAATGGAATATATCGGCTTTAGCTTCTTGCATTTGTAGTGTGAAAATTAAGCAAAATCCTGTAACTGAGCATACCTGTATTTTTGAGAGGTGTTGCTGCGGTGGTTGCAAAATGCTGCTGGAGTATGTGATAAAGGTAATATAAAGGATACTAGAAAAATAAAACAAAATACATTAACATATTCAAAAATGGGTGCCACGGCTCAGAGAAGTAACCCCACCCTGCTGTGCATTACAGTGCAATGAAGCTGAGTAGGGGATTGTAGCTGCAGTTGTGAGCAGCAAATTGGCAGATGCAATATCCCCACTGGACTTTGGGTTTAGGTCTTTTCTTTTGTGCGTGGGAGTGGGAAGGAAGGAAGGAAGGAAGGGTAGGTGAGTGGGTGGAGACCAGCTGACTTTCACAGATTTGGATCATAGGCCTTAACATAGCACGGCTCTCATCTTGAGTGTTGTAGTCTAGCTGATGCATGTTTAAATTTCAATGACTAGTCACCATGTCATTAAGAAGCAAAAGCAGAAGAGCATGAAAGAAGAAGATAGAAGGGAAGGACTGTGATTCTCTAAGAGTTAAACAGTCTTTACTCTGAGACCCCATAAAATGCTATAAATAACCTAACACTTGGACTTTGTGAAATGAGGGAGCAAGAACATTTTTGCCATTTGAGGTGCACACACAACCACAAGCAGATTCCAGTTCTGATTTTGCGGTCCTCTCCAAAGAGTTGTGTGGCCCTGAGCAGCTTGTGGAAGGTGTAAGTTTGCAAAGCATTTGTTTGCTTGATACACTGGTACTTTGTTTACTTTTTAGGGTCAGAGTCTTGGGAAGTTTGAGCCCAAGTATAGGCTGCGTACATCTCATCTCTGAACTACTTTTGTAATTGCTTTTTGTTCATTCTCGGTTTATGTGTGCACATGCACATGCATGGTGTCTTCCTCCCCATGTGTGTCTTCTGTGCTACAGTCTCTTGGACATATGTAGCTGTTTGATGTTTGGCTTAGGAAGCTTGGCCATGTTTGAACTCCATGTCACATTCTATAAAATCTTCACATGGCTCAAAGCTGTAAGATACTTTCTACATGATTCAGAGAGTCCCCAGAGCTTGAGGTGTGATTCATACGTGGGAGGAAATTGTGTCTCCTTGATGTTTCTATTGCTCCAGCGAAAGATAAGACTGCAGAGTCAGCAGCGCGTACTGGTTGGTTTCCTGCCCTAGCTGAGGATTTGACTTACACCACAGCCAAAGCTAGCTTTGTTTTCTGATCAGCCATGCGGCACAGTCTTGGCATGGGAATGGCACTTGAGTGCTGGTGGCCTCTTGTGGGTCAACAGCCACAGCCTGGCCACCCATGATGTTGCCATGGTCTGTTTGAGCTACCTGTTGGCAACATTTCTGAAAATCATAGTCAACATCTGCTGAATTTGGTATCCAAATTTGAATATAAGAAAAGTTGAGTTATTGTGAAGCAGTGTGCCCTAACTAGTCTGTGACTTAGTTTCACTATTTGAAGAATAAAGCGAAACATGCTCAATAAGGGCCTTGAGGCTTATCTGGTGTATTTTGTCACATCCTGTGACTTGGAGGTGAAGACTGTACTTTATGTAGCTCAACTGACTCGTTTGGGATTCTTGTATTTCCTTAGGTACAACATTGATCCTAGCTTGTACTGTCCATTTTTCTCTCTTGGGGCGTGCATGGAAGGTTTGAACTCTTTGTTCAGTCAGCTCCTGGGAATCTCCCTTTATGCTGAACAGACACAGAGAGGAGAGGTTTGGTCTGAAGATGTTCGAAAGTTGGTAAGTATTCTTGTTCCCAGCATCTGAAATGACAAAGGGAAGTTAGACAGGGTGGTGTGTTCCTCTAGACCACGAATCAGATTTTGTTTTAAAATTACTTGCACACCTATCAAAAGCACAGACTAGTTGTCTAATTTTAGCTGAAGTTAGACCTCAAAGGCTTCATACGCTCTCTAAGCGCCTTTTGTATGCTTGGTATTTTGTGGCCTTTATAGTATGTCTCTGTGTGAAGGGACCCTGAATCAGAAGCAGTTTGTCTGTTTGGAGGTTATTGTTGTACCTTTTAGGCTGTCCTTCTGAAGGAGCCCTGCTAGTTTTTTTAGTTTCGATTTGTAGATGACTGTAGATGACTATAATGCTGTTGGTGCATATTCTAGCAGTCATGTGTCTTTGCCTTGTTTTTTTTTTATTCTGTATGTCATCTTTACTTTGAGATTTGTTTTTATGTCTTTATTTTTCTGTCCCCTTTTTGAGGGGGGTGCAAAAAATAAAAACTTGGGCAATAATTCAGTCATCAGGTTCCCGGGTTCCTCTGTTGTCTTTCCTCCATGTACTTGCTGCCAAATGTTCTTCACTGCTCTTCCACCTCCAGCAAGAGCTGCTGTTCTTTATATCCTGTGAGTCAATTTATAATTACTCCTGACTCTTTCTATTTTTATCTCCATGGTAAGTCAGCTTCTGTTACTGTTGACTTCTCAGAAGTCATTTAGGGGCTACAGACAGTATTTTGAGTGACTAATTAGTTTTAAGTGAAATGCAGAAAAGGCTATAATTTGAGGGACAAGTTGTGAATCTTGTGTATATATATTTTTTTTTCTAACTAAAATTGCCGACATATTTTACATTAATTATGCCCAGTTTATTTGTCATTTATTCATTATAAATCTTTGGATTAGAATACTATGTCTTCAGTTTACGCATATTATCAGTGCTTTCACCGTGGAAATGATACTTTTTTTTTTCTTCAGGCTGTTGTTCATGAAACTGAAGGTTTGCTAGGATACATCTATTGTGACTTCTTTCAGCGACCTGATAAACCACATCAGGTAACATTTATGATCTGATTCCAGCGTGGGTTTTACTTGAGTAACGACTGTAGCGTTAGGGCCGTTTGCGTTCAGTGTAAGTTTAGTAAAAGTTACCTCAATTTAAAATAAATTAAATTTAAACAGAGAAAGTCTGTAACTTCAAATGTGGTTTTAGGTAAAATATTTCTGTGAGTAACCTTTCGTTTAGAAAATGTCACTCTATAGGCTGAACTCAGACTCTTTGTTCTACGGAATGACAGGCACTATGAAACATTGTAGAACTCTGTTTAGAGAAATGATAGATTTTTAAACACCTATTTTCTGGACTACAAGTGAAAAAACATCTGAAATTTTAATACTTTCTAAAGGTGAAAGCTCATAGTGACAACTAATTTTTAGTCAAAATTCTGCTTAAAACTGTAGATGGTTCCAACTGTTGTGGCTCACTCACGCTGCCTAGTGCCAGTGTATTAACTATATGTTGCAGTACAATAGACACTTCACTCTGTAGAAGCATCTGCACCTTTAGTGAGGTGGTGAGTGCACAAACTTTAAATCTACATTAGTTTAATATATTACCCTGTTTTGCTAATATTTCACTATATACTAGGAGTGCTGTGCAGTATATTTTATAAAGAAGTTACTGATGAAGAATGAGAGACATTAATCTATAAATTATGGATTTGGCACATCAGTAAATTTCTTTGAGCTAGTGATATTTTTTAGAAAAATTGAGAGGTTTTGATAATTCTAACCAAAAAAATATTAAATTTTGTTTTCTAAAAGCAGCACAGTTTTCTTTATGGAATAAGGTAGTTTCCTTATGAATGTGAAACAAGTAATAAAGATGAAACAGCGTGCTGCTATGGAACAAGGCTGTTAGTGATGATCAAATTCAACTTGTGTGACTGAGTATATCTTTAGGTTTGATTTAATAGTTTAAGTTTAATATAATAATTTCATCGTTGTTTTAATGTCATTGATGTAATGACATTGGCTGTCCATGTGTTTGCTTTTATCTTGGAAAGGATTGTCACTTTACAGTTCGTGGAGGCAGGCTAAGGGAAAATGGAGAGTACCAGCTGCCTGTAGTTGTTCTTATGCTTAGCTTGCCCCATTCAACAAGGGGGGCACCAACGCTGTTGAGTCCTGGCATGATGGAGAATCTCTTCCATGAAATGGGCCATGCTATGCATTCTATGCTGGGAAGAACTCGGTACCAACATGTCACTGGTAAGAAGGTTAGGTTATTGATTTTTTTGTTTTAGTTAAATGTTTCATTTCTAGAAGAAGGGAGTAGATTAACCCAAAACAAAACAAGAAAAAAAAAAAGAGGATGAACCAGAAGTGGTTGAGTCGTATTAATACTTCTACAGCTTTGATGACTTGAAAATACAATATCAGATCCCCAGATATTATCTAAAACCCAACCAAACAGCACTTGAATATTCTTCTGCTAATAAAAATTAGGCATTTGTATCTCTCCTTTCTCTACTGCTGATCTTTGTTCTAGTGCTCTTGCAAGTTTGCCTTATGTGAAGTTTGTAATAATGGAATAGTTGGAGGACTGAAAATAAATGGAGCTAAACTTGTACCTAGTGTAAAAGTGAAATGAATCCTGGCTTGGAAGTGATTTAGGAAATTGAATTAAGGAAAATCAGTAAATTAGTTCTTGCAAAGAGCATACACTGGCAATATGGAAAATCTGTAAAGCCAGACCTTTTCTAGTTGATTCTGATTAAAGCAAAGTTGATAAATTAAGAACATACTGTGTTTGCAAGCATGATTAACTGGTAGGCCTTTTTATCATACGTAAATGAACATGAATGAATGTGCAATCATAGCTTAGTGAATGCACAGAGAAGGAATATTGCCTTTTTTCATTTAGTCCCTGTTCTCAAGCAGTGGCAACGAGTGTATTGTCTGACAGCTTGCAGGCAGCTGTGGCCTTCTGCAGTTGCGACAAATGGGTCAAAGACGTATTTTGACTAAAGGTGCTTGGCATGCTACTTCTGCCTGCGGACAGCTTGCTGTATCCTCTTCTATAATAGTGTGCTGGAAATTCCGTTTGCAGTAGACATTCACTTATTAAGAAAAAAACACACAGCCAAACCAGATGAAATTGTAGCTCCCTTGTTTGAACGATTTTTATTATGTTTTACCATTTTTATATTATGCTAATGATACAAAGGGGAGTTCATGGGAGAGTTACATGTTATCAACAGATACTTCATACCCAGTGACAAAATATTCTTTCTTAAATCTTCCACTTAAAATTAAAATAGACTGAGATGTAAGTACGTCACTACTGGGCATTGTTAAAAAAAATGAACGCTGTATATGCTCTTTCAGTATAAACTCTGTGTATTCTTTGGGAGTAAGAGCTCTCCTCCACCCCTTCCACTCATATGGCCTTGTTCATTTTGACCTCCAGCAGTACTTACATGCCTAAACTAACTGCTTTGGTGGGGTTCTTCTCTTGTGATGAATCATATGAATCTGCATGTCAGTCTTGAAGGGGCAGGAAATGGCTAATTTTGAGGCTCAGCCTTTCCATGAGCCCCTCGTTATGGTTTCAGCATTTCCTTAGCTCCAGGCAGTCCTTTGTCCTAGAGGATTTCACCCAGATCCATCATTGCAAAAGCAGCATTGGAGGTCAGTTGTGTTGTTTCTGCAGAGAACCTTTTTCTAGGTTTTGGAATGTGTGACAATGCAATGGGTCATCCCAGGGATGTCCGTTAGGGGCTATCTGCTCTCATGAGACACTAGGGTGGCAGAGTGTGGAAACAAGATGACTACAGGCTATTGTGGGAACTAAGAATTTGACATTCTAGTTGAGATGCACTGAGTATTTGACATCTTTACCACTCTCCCCTACCTTCCTTTTCTGATTAAAGTTCCCAAATATTCAGGAACCCATTCTGCTGCTAGTGGGCCCAACACTTGGATAATATGTTTTTGAGTTAAGATATGCTTCAAGTTAATCTGTCATTTTACTGTATGCATTTATTGGTTGTTTAATGCATACGTGTGTGTATAAGATTTTTTTAAAACCTAGCTTGTATTCCGTTTTAGTTTATCTTGCAGTAGAGAATATCTAAATTTGTTTTACAGGAGGACTGACTTTTCCCAGATAACTGCCCAACCTTTTACCTTTCTGACTTTCAGATAATGTAATTTTTCAGGAGTCTATTTAATGGTTATCAAAAGAATCCTGTCACTTCATTAAGAAGCACTGAGAAAGCATAAATGGGTAGGAGAACATCAATGTAGTTCTGTAGGTTTTGTCTTGGGACCTGTCTTGTTTTAGGCTTCTTAAAAATGATTTTCGAACAACAATAAAAAAGGCTCTACTAATGAAATGTGATGGCACAAAAGGAGGATTGGGATATTGTATAAGAACTGAATGACTGGATACTGCAGTGTTAGAAGTAAAATGCAATTCAGAACTACACAGTGCAGATCATGTATTTAAAGAGTACAAAGAGAAATTATGCTATCAAATGGATAATTCAGCAGTGGTGGGGGAAGAGAAGAACAGTTTTAGATATTAATGCGGAACTAGAAATAGCTGATGTGTTTGTGAAAGGGCGAATGTGATTTGAAATGACATCAGAGGTGTATCTAACAGCAATAAGTTTTACAATAATTAAGAAGGATACTGGTGAAACCTCATGCAATACTTGGGCATGGTTTTGTGCCTCTGCTTGGAAGGTGAGTTCAAACTGAAGCAGGTGCAGAGAAGAGCTACAATGGATAGTCTTTTAGCCTTTATCTTGCCTTTGGTTAATGATGGCTGAGAGAGGATATAATTTCTCTCAATTTAGGAGCTGAAAATCAGTGTGGGAAATGCTATTTATACTAAAGAGCAGTATTGGTCTGAAAACATTGAGTATAAGCAGATTGTAAATTCAGATTAAAAATTAGAGAAAGATTTGTAAAGATCAAAGGACTGATTTTAAAAAATAGTCTTCAAGAAAGAATAGTAGAAGCAAATAAACGTACTTAATTTAAGACTAGTTTTGAATGTTGACATTGTCTCTAGCAGACAGGGATAGAGGTGATGACCCAGTGGGTCTGTTATTAAAGCAACAACTTTGTACCTCCCTAACTTTAATGTAGAAATTAGAAATGCAGCTGATTTGGTGATGTGTTATACTTCTTAGTAACTTCCATTGTGTAAGGTACTGATAAAGATTAGAGTAAGCAAAATTTTTGGGAAAGTTCTTTTTGAAAATACTAACTGCTAAGATACTACCTCAGTACACTTAGAACACATCCTCAATCTGCAAGAGTGTTCCTTGGATGAATGATTTGGTATTATAAAGTGAGATTAATATAAAGAATAAGTAAGCTCAGCAAAGAGATGGAAGCTGAAAATTGTAACTGTGAATGGGATTAAGGCAGAGTTTTATTTACATTGTAGTTTGATTTAGGTTTAGGACACTTAAATAGATTTGGTGTTTCATGTAGGGCCAGTTTGGCTGCAGTCTGGTTTAGCTTAAAAAGGGTGTGATCCAGAGCTTTATAAGGTGCCTCACCCAGCTGTTCAAATATTTTGTTTTACTTTGTGATTTATAGTAAAATGTGTAGGATTATAATGAGGCTTTTCTGGAAATATGTACAATAATGCTATGGAAATAAAATACTGACTTAATAAATGAAAGAACGTTAAAGTTCACCAAAAGTCCAAACTGAAAATTGTAAAACCTTTTGGGAAGAGTTAACTATTTGTGTTAATGAAAATAGCAAATGCTAATGTGTACAATTATTTTACGTCTAGGAACCAGATGTCCTACTGATTTTGCTGAAGTTCCCTCAATTCTGATGGAGTACTTTGCAAATGACTATCGAGTGGTTAACCAGTTTGCAAGGCATTATAAAACGGGACAGGTAGGGAAAATTAATATGTAAAATATTGAAAATAGGAATAAATGTACTAACAAAAAGAATCACATTTTCGTGTGTTATTTGTTAATAATGTTCAAAGTAGAAATAAACAATGGATAGAAAATATTTTAATATTATAATTTCAGTTATTCAGAAATAAATGTTAATATTCTTATTGCAGAAAAGATAAATGTAATCTGTAAAAGAATACCATGTCCTTGTATCCAGGGTTCCAATTACATATTTAAAACTTTCAACTTTTTTTTCCTGCAAAAATTGTGTAGTTTCTACGCTACACAGACTTAGTGCAGTAGGTGAACAACTTCTGTGTGAATCAAGTTATGTGGTTTGTCTTAATTTAATTACAGGTAAGTTATGACGAAAATAGTGATTCAGCATTGAACTGTCTAAAGTCTGTCTTAAAATAAACCTCAGGTACGAAATCGTGGAAGTAAATGGAAATGATCTGCAGTGTTTAAAAACTCCCATATTTAGTGCAGCGTAGGGTAGTGATTGAAATATTTTGTGATGCAAAGTGTACTGCTTTATTTAGGATGAGATTAGGATTACTTAGATTCTGGCAGGCAGAAATCTGCGTTAAAACTTTGATCTCTTTTTTATGTAAAGCTGTTCTATGCCAGTCTACTGCAAAGACCTTCTTCTTATGGGGAAATTTAGAAAACAGTGCTCGTTGGAACCAGGTGACTTTTGGTGGTCGTGTTAACACATGGCAGCAGACCATATTTGTATTTGTACAGCCATTTCAAAAATACAAACCAGTAAACAACAACCAAAGATCATCTTCTAGTGCTTTTGATTGAAGCAAGTTTTAGTGTATTCAGATGTGGTGGTTGAAGAATAGACTACCCATCAATGCAAAAACGAGAAAGCCTCTTAAGTTGTGTAGTGTTACACTTCATTGAAGCATTTATCCAACAGTAAGCAGTCAATGTATTTCAGTATTATGAAACTGCAATTATGTTTGCCTCCACTGAACAGTTAGTAAAATATGTTTCTTGATTTCTATTTTAGTAGATACTGAGAAATTTGCTCTGTAAATCTGCTTTTTTTTTTTATTTTTACAGAGCAATCATTTCTGCAAAATTGATTGCACTAAGAAAATCTCTTTGAAACCTGGGAGTTAAAAGTACTCGATTCAGTAGTGTTCATCGTTTATGTGTTTGAGTCCACATACCGAAATACTGCTTTCTAGAGCTCCGTATAAAGTTCATGTAGTGTTTAAACGTTGTGGAGTTAATCTGATTGCATATGAGTTCAGAGAATAAGCTTGGCTAAAACATCTGAAAGAGATTTGTGGAACATTATTTATGGCTTTGTATTTTCAAAATGGCTTAACAAATCTAAACCATGTTTATTTGCAGTGCAAGAGCTAAGAACCAGACTCTGTGTCCCATTTGGCAATGCCTTAAACTTCTTCTGTTTATTGGTGGCGAAATCTTGCCCTTTCAGAGTGCAATTGAAAGAGATTTAATGTAGCAATTCAGTCTTGAAGGGGGCAGGGCTGGATTATGCTGGAAGATGAGAAAAGGAGCCTGAAACTGCTGTGTGGCTTTTGAGGGCTTTAGACAGCTTCCTTTTAATTGCTTTTTTAAAAACTTAGAATGTATTTTTAAGCCATTATCCAACATATATAAATCTGCTTTTGCTTATGTTGCGTCATGTAGGCTAGCTTTAAGAATCTGATACAGGTTTCTCTGTGTGTCATTTAAATAGATTAAAGTCATCTTTTCTGTTCTCGAAATTTAGTGATTTTTACAGCAATTACTTTTATCGGTTGTATATATGTAACAAAGTTCTTTGAATAGAAAATCCCAGCTCTCTTACATTTACAACTTTTATAAAAATGCTTTTGAGGTTTATATTTTCTGTGCTTGTTCCCTGATTAATTTTCTGGTGTGCAGATAGAAATTTGAGTCAACATTTTCTTCTCCAGTTTTTTAGTTATTTGAAAGAAAAATGAGTTCGCTTTATCCCCTTTTTGAGGGGAGGTAATGAGGGTGAGTGAAACAGTTAAAATGTGAAATTTGTGAAACCATTTCATCCAGATGTTGTTCTGTATGAGAAGTTCCATCAAGTTTCTTCTTATGAATAAAGAGATGGAGCTTTTCTGTGCGAGAAGGATCTGTCCTGCAGCAGCTACACCAATGTAGCTCTACTGGATGTTCACAAGGGTACGTTTTTTTACTGACCCAGCTTGTTGAGGAGGCAGTGCAGATAATTTGAAAAAGCATCCTTCTTTTGGCAGTGCTGCATCAATGCTATAGATTTTGCATGTAAATTTTAGGTGGCGTAGTTTTTAACACTCCTACCGAACATAATTACATCAGGAGAACTTGTTAGCATAGTCTCAGCTTATGATTTCCCTTGCTATAAAAGCCAACTGTAAGACTGGTCCTGAGGATCCTCACTTAGGGTCAGTGCTTATACTTATGGGAAGAAGAGGGGAAAGAGGTGGTGTTTTGATTATTAAAACACAAGGACTGTTGAAAACTGGATTTTAGTAGCATTGCAGAAAAAGGATTTGGTGGGCAGGCTTTCAAAGATGAGAATGTGTTATGCGTATGGATGCAGATCATGAGGATCTGGTCCAAGATATCTTGAAGTTTGTAGAAAGCTTGTCTCTGCTTTCTGTGCATTTTGGATGGTTGTGCTGTTGCGCACTGAGGAGTGAAAAAGCTTGCAAGCTCTTCTGGCAAAAGGAGCAAGTCTTATGAAATTACTTCAGAAAGCTGGCCAGCAGAAAAATATTTTTTCCAAGAAAGCAGCAAGCCTAGTTTTCCTTTCATCTTAAAGATAACTCAAAGCAGAAAATCCTTGAGGAAAAAAAAAAGAAATAGAGAGGACTGCGTTAATTAGTTACTAAAGTTGAATTACTCCGGTAAGCTCATGAAGTCAAGCCATACCAAAATGAGGTAACACTGCTTGAGCAGACAATCTGGTGCATGCATACCATTCTGTATCACTGTGTGTTTGTTTAATTTTGATTGTTAAGTGCATAGATGTGTGGTAGGTCTGTCAAGCTAAATCGTTTTAAGCTTGTGTGTCGTCTGAGGCTCTCTTGAACAAGGGCCAGTATTTCAGCTGTTCAAGTTTGAACTGACTTCATTTTTCACAGAGGTGGAATTACAAAGGCAGTACTGTATTAGCATGATTACAAGAATAAGCCCACGGACAGTCAACAGTTGTAATGTGTCGTGGTTACTACACAGCAGTAAGGAGTTAAATGTGCTTTGGGGCACACAGTATTCTGTTCTTTTAGCCACCGTGGCAAACGTGCTGAAAAATTCATGCCAAGATCTTAAAGTTACTTAATATAGAAGGATGGAAAAGTGGAACCTGAAGTAAAGCATGTAGTGTTTAAATTTAAAAACCTGAATGGTTATTCAATTAACATAGTTTTAGCCAAAGCTCTGTGAAGTCTTTCTTTTAGAAGGAGGATGACAGCTTGATTCTGGTTTTATCGGAGAGCTCATCTTTCAGGATAAGTAAAATAATCATGCTGATGCATTTTTTTACTTCACTCAGCTGCTTATTAAGGGGCTGTATGAGATTGTAATGAAGCAAGGAGAAATAGTTCCTATTGCCTGAAACTGTACATCTTCCTCAGTACATTCAAGACTTCAGCGTGTCTGTATGCCTGGCATTCACAGAAACAAGCTTTGGAGAAGTGTGATGATCTTTGTAAAAATTCTCTGGAGCCTAATTTTAGTTTCCTGAAATCTTAAATTTTAAAACCCTGAAGCTGCTTTGGGAAAAATAAGTGATCTCCTTTTATCATTCTTTTAATTTAATCTAATTTTGTCAATGTTCTTCTGGTGCCAAATTCTGCTTGGCTTGTGAATTATGATCACAGCACAATCTTTGAGCCAGATCAGTAGCACTGATAGATTTAAACAAAAGAACATTTGTGTCTTTCTCCTGTGCTTTTTTGTCAATAGGTATTGTCATAAGAGTGATTAGTAATTTCCTGTTGATTCTTATCTGCTCAGTTTGATCTTCAGGGCAGAGTAGATCTACGTTGTTTGATATTCATATGGATGGAAAAAAGATAAAAAGATTTTCTTGGAGGATATTTGTATTACCTACATTTTACTTGGTCTTTAGAAGGTGGTGCTAAGCCATCTCCTGTGCAAAGAGATTTTAGTACATTATTAGTGATCGTTTTGTGTCACCCCTCGCAAGTTAGATTTAGAACAGGACAAATGCTTGTAGCAGAACATAAGGAAGAAACTGGGGAATGCAGAAGCTGCCTTTTCAGCAGTCTTCTCTGGCTTGAGGTCAGCTATTTGCAGTACAGTCAAAAGAAGGCAAGACTCTCTTGGGTGGAGAGTCTGTAAGAAATATTTAACTCTGAACTGAGAATTAGACCTGCTTCAGTTGTTTCTTGAGCAGGGCTGGATGTGACCAACTCTCCCAGGGAGCGTACAAAGTCTGTCCACATTGCTGAGCCTGGCTGCTTCGTGCCCCAGTGAACTGCAAACTTGGATTTCCCAATTCAGTTGACAATCTGTGGGACTGTGGTTTACCAAAATGCCTGTTAGAAAAGTCTTAGTCCCTTTTGTTTTATTTATTTTGTGTACCAGTGGAAAGCCTGTGCACTTAACTTCCTCTTACAGTCATTTAATATGGCTGAAATATAGATTTGAAAATCCATTATGTTGAAAGAGCTAGTTTGACCTTAGTGGTAGGAGTGCTCTTGGCTTTAACACTCTTAATTTATAACTGTGTAAAATACACATATATGCTGTTGCCAGGCTTTTGGATGTTCACCTTTTTTTTGACACTGACAAATTACAGTTTAAGAATTCCCATCTAGTTTTCTCATATTCTACTGTATCCAAAATACAGGTGCCCCTAGAAGAAATCAGTTTTGTTTAATTCCATACTATGGTACTTCACTACAAAATGAAAGCCTCCAAAAAGCTGCCAAAGCTTGGTGATAGTTTTGGTGCTTAATAACAAAATCTGTTCAAAATTCGGTGCTTTTCCTTACACGAGGGTTTCTTGCATGACAACTGGAACTGTGTTATTGCAAACTCACATGTGGTTTAGTTCCAGGACAAAAAGTCATTGAAGTGCATGCCTCACTCTGTGTAAGAGAATGAGACAAGAGATGCTCATAGACCCAGGAGAAAAATTGTCCACCCAAAATACTTATGTATTTTTTTTTTTACTTTGCTTCTTGCCTTAATAACTTTTCTGCATAACTAAGTAGTATTTTGAAAAATACTAAATCCTGTATAGAACCTCAGTGTAGTCAGCTACTGATAACTGCCCAGTTACTCTTACTTTAGTAGTCCAAAACTATCATGTAATTTGGAACAGATTTTTTTGTATATGGAAAGGGTAAATACTGGCCTAACAAGGATATGCTGTAGGACAGCCTTCATGTTCATTGGTTCATTTTTCCATGTTGAAATTTAACAGCTGTGCACATTTATGACAGGCAAAATAGTGGGTGGTGTTCTAGCCTGTTCTAGACTCAGCTAACATTTGTCTTGGAGAAGAGATTACAAGCCTTGGCAAGCTACTGCGTAAAACAGCTGTACAACTCGAGAGTTTTTCTTACCTGCTTTAATGTCCAGATTCCACAGAGTTAATTGATAACATTTACCTCACTTACGTGTAACTTCTCTGGAGTTGGGTTTTTACTCTGTGAAGATTAACGTTGTTTGTCTTGAAGACCTATCATTTGCACAGAATCTAAGCATAAGGCTCTGTCATCAGGATCTGTAGACTTTCATGTATTATGTCTTAAACACTTCAACACACTGTAAAATTGTAGGTGTGCTTTTAGAGTTCAGTGTAATACCAAACATCTGTATTACATTGTACAACTTGTAGTAACTTTCTTAATTTTTTAGCAAGAACACAATTATTTTAACCATATTTTATATGTTTGGTTAATAAAATTGCTAGCAAAAAAAAAAATATACTTACTAGGAAAAACATCTATTGAAAAGTTTCAGGAAGCAGTGGAAGAAGTGTAAGGTCAGGCATTTGTGTACAGATACTCTTAAAAATCTTGGCATTAAAAAGCCTTTGGATGTACTTGTAGACATCTGGCTAGAAAGTCAAAACCAGTTTGCTTAATGACCTGAAAAACGTCTCTGACTTTCAGCCGGTGGTGGTGGCATAGATAATTTGCCTTAGATGTGGAATAAATTCAACTTTGTTAAAAACTTCAAAGGGTAGATATTTACTGTTCAGTATGACCAAACATTTTTATGTGGGTTAGGTAGAAGGCCTGATGCTGCTGTCCCAGTTGAAGTTAGGAAAACCCCACCAGGTCAATGGGTGTTATGTGGGCCTCCGTGTAAATCTAAGTGAACTGTGCTCAATGACCAAAGGAGAATCTACTGTAATATCTGTTTTTGAAGATTAGTCAGGATGACCTGGGAGGACTTTAACTGCCCCGTCTGTTCTTTATCTCTAAAGATAGTCATAATATTTTTAACAGGCATATAAGGGAACATGAGATCAATTTATAGAAAAACAAACGCTGAGAAACAGGGGTTTCTTGATTGGTATGTAAATTACTGTCGATATCTTAATTGCTCATTTAATGCTTTGTTTAGCAAATGAGATTTCCTTCCTCAATGCCAAGCACTTCAAGTGTCTTTTCATTACCATCAAGAGTCTTTTTTTTCCCCTCATCTTCATCCGTGTCTAGCAGTAAGCGTACTATTTACAAATATACGACAGTTCTAAATATGTTCTGACTTTTTTTTTTTTTTTAATTTAAGCCACTACCAAAAAACATGGTGTCAAGACTATGTGAGTCCAAAAAGGTGTGTGCTGCAGCTGATATGCAACTCCAGGTATGTTCTTTGCATTCTGGTCTCTACTCTCTATCCGGAACTTACAAAACCTATTTTATTTCTTATAATTTTACCAAATTTTTATTTTTAATGTAGGCACACTGTCTAACTATATGCAAATTAGTGCGAATTAATTCAATTTTATATTAATTTTCAAGTTTGTTTTTGTGAACATATTCTGTGCTGTCTGCTTAAAGCTAAATGTCTAAATCTGTAGGAAAATATCACGAAAACCACAGCTTTTGGAAATGGTTGGATTATCAGGATTCCCAAATGTGGTTTAAGATTAAGTTCTTAAATTAATGGAATCATTTAAGGAGAATTTGCAGTAGAGGAACTATAGTGTACCTTCAGATCATTAAAGTATAGCAGGACTGAGGGATACAGGCCACCTTAGTAAAATCAAACCAGCTCGTTTATTTACCAGAATGTGATTTTAGCTCCTTGTCTTCTGCAGCTCCAGTATGAAAGCATCAACTTGTTGCTGCCATCAAAATTGGTGGCTGAGCTGTAAGGCTGTAAGACTTCTCTGTCACAATGTGAGGAGTGGTAATAAAATTCATAAACCTCTTTTTTCTGTGGGTAGATGTGATTGTCATTCCCGTAAACAAACTGTCACTGTTGCTTTTCTTCAAAGGAAGTAAAGGAAATTTGAGTTCCATCTAAAATGGGTATTTAGGTTTTTTCAGTCCTGCAACAGCAGTTCTCAGATGGGAACAGTAGCATTAGCATCCAGCCAAGTTTTTTTACAGTGAGAGTTTGGCTGCATTTAGTATACTACAAGCTTCTGCTATGTGATTCTTGTGATTTAGTTTTCTTCTTTGTTTTGCCTTAAGCCAGAAGCATGTAATTTTTCTTTTTTACAGTTGACCTAGTGTTTATGTGGATAACTCTGCTAGTACCTTGATAAAGGGTAGTGTGGAAAAGAAACAAATTTAAAGATCAGATCTTTGTAATTCTTCATTTTGAACAAAGTGCCGAAATGATTGCAACCCTGTCTACAAACATGAGTTATGCTGGTTAACTAAAGTTGATTTAAAAGAAGAACTTAGTTAAATATTTGCAGTTTGCTCTGTGCTGTTATAGTGATTTAAAACTAATCAGAATGCTGGCGTGTGGACCTGTAAATGTAAACGTGTCAGTAACACTAATCAAAACCAGACTTAACACTGTTTTCAGTGTATACATGTATTTTTCATTGGTTAAACTTAATGGGTGTTTGGATTACTCTTTCAGTGCAGCAGTGTCTGTCAGTGGCCAGTGTTGGCTGTGCAGGTGTGAACAAGGAGTGTGCTATCTGTGGCTATACCTCTGTGACATGAATACAGCTGCACCCTCTCTGCAGGTCTGATTTTGAAATGCACACTCCTGGCTCCGAAGGTTCTCAGCTAGCTGAGAATCTAGAAAGAATGTGGGCAAGAATATAATTAATTCATAAAGGAGTTTTTTGGGGAAAAAACCCAATTCTGTATTGAATTAAAATTTATACTGAGAATGCTTAGTGGTGGACCTCTATTCATGAAGTCCACCAACACAGAATAATTTGCCAATGTACAGACTAGTAACCACCAAAGTGATGATGAAGTGCTTTCACATGCACCCATTCTTTTCTGGTGTGTCCATAGCAGCTATATGTAGATCTGACAGATTTCCTTTAAACTTTTAATATGTCTTTGCTAGAATCTTGTCAAGACCAAATTGACAGCGTGGGGGCTAAATGGGCTTGGATACCAAGAACACTTTGAGTCACAGATACATTAACAAGTGACGCGGCCTCTGTGTCCTGTGGTGAGGGAGGTGGCGTGCTCCAGAAGTAAGTCAAGGAGAGGTCATTGCATTGATCCCATGGGGTGGGCTGTGCAACCCTGTGCCGCTGTTGGCTCTCAGCTGCTCCTGACGTCTCTGTAGGGTCTGTCCCAGAATGGCTCCAGAACCCATAGCTTTAGAACTGAGGTGAGAACACCCACTTCTGGTGGGCTCGAATTCCTGCGGGCACCTAATGATTGACTGGTGCTGGCAATGGTGCAGTGATTAAGCAGGCTGCTTGCCCTCAAATTACTCTTGTGTAGCTAACGTTCAACCAGTCTCAACCTGTGCCAAATGACCACAATGCCAAGCTGAGTAATATTATTTATTTCCTACTTTCAGCACCATGTTTTTGGAGATTCCAAATGTCATACCTGCAGAAGTACATACCCATTTCAAAGAGACAGACTGGCAGAGCCGTTCTGTTTATTAATTCAGGAAAAATGTCCCAAAGACATTGACTGCATGGCAAATACAAAGTTGATACATTCCTTTGTAGAAATGTGTGTTGTTACTCATGCATATTTAAAGGTGTAATGATTCATTGAAGGAAAACATATATTTCAATCTGCAGATGTGGAAGTATATATGTACTACTGATACCTAAAAAAACTATGAATGATGACTCTAATACCTTTCCTTCAGACTTTGCAAAGAGTATATTCTATCTGGAGGACTAGATGCTATGTAAGCTATATTTGACCTTTGAAAGAAAGAAAAATGCTCACAAATTTTCCAGCAGTAGGGAAAATGCCTAAAGGTTCTTTTGTGGTCTCTTCAGAAAATACGTTTATTGGCAAGTGAAAGTAAGAAATTATGCTGGTTTTTCATCATAACTGTAATACCTTGGCATTTTCTTCCAGCTCATGTAATCAGTTAATCAAGAGGAAAGGTAGGAGAATCCGTGCATCTTCTCATACGGCTTCTGCCAGGCAGACTGAGTCCCAGAGTCTTTCAGTCAGTAGTAATTTCACTGGAAAATGCATAATTGTTTACATATTAATGCTATTAAGCAAATGAGGAGCTAGAAAGAACTGGAAACAAGTGAAACTAATAAATACCAATGTCAGTGCAAAATAGAGGAACAATATGAAGATAGATAACTATTTGATGACCTTTTTGTATTTGTAGGTCTTCTGAGAAATCATCTTCTAGCTACTGCTTAGTATTAAGTGTTAGCATGCTCCTCAGCAGTATCTCTGGGATGTGTCTCCCTTTGCCATTTCAAAGGCCTGTGTAAACACACTGAACTGTGATTTGTAGATGGGAGTGCTTATGGCTATAAAGTTTATCCAAGTTTATTTTCAGGGATGGATTTTTTTTTTTTTAACTACACTGTCCAGGTGGCCTGCCTCATAGCTTTCGTCCCACGCTTCGCATGTGCCAGGATCAGGGGAAAGATTATAACTGCCTTCAGTAACTCACTTCCCTATCACCACGTTGTTCTTTAGGCAGTCCATTTCACTGGCCTTCAGCTGACATTTTCCCACTGCCTAGCTGTGAGTTGAGCTTTTGCTCCAGCTCCCTGACCACAAACTACTTGACTCCAAATTTTACTTTAGAGAAGGTCCACTTCAGTGCAATCCACTCCATCTTGTGAGGAACACTGAAGAGCAACGGCAGACAGGTCCTAACAAAGCTGGGAGACAGAAAAAAGAGAATCAAGGCTGGGCTGAAGCAGAATGCTAAAGTCTGTTGTCAGGTGCTGAAGTTTCTCATGTTTGGTTTGGAGTTATTTGGAGAGGAGAGGGAAGTTCATATGAAGTTGAGTCCTGCAGAGTAACAAAGGCCTAGGGTGACAGGAGAAAGTGAGTTTTCTAGGACTGTTGCATGAGGTAAATTTCAGATCTTTTCATGGTACTTACTGTTGGTCATATTCTCAGTCACCCTTGCTACCAGCAATGCTGTAGCTTTTGTTAAACTTTGTTAAAAAATGAACTGGGATTCTAGAGACCAGCTCTGAGGATGAAAAGTATAAGCAAAGGCATTGCGAAGCCTCTTCCTCTTCTAAGTTAAGAGTAAAAAAAAAATTGTAGTTTTTACAATCTAGTATAGGTTTTTCTTTAGATTTTTAGTTTTTCATGTTATCAATATAATGATGGGAAATTCCCCTGCAAAGTTTGGTTTTAAAAGATAAAATGCTGGTTAGTGTTTGCGATTTTGTGCAGTGACTTCATGGAGTTGTCTTCTGAACAGATATTTACTGCCTGCTGTGGGTTTGTAGATGGGCAATGTTAAGTGCTTGCATCTCTTGTTCAGTGTTGGTAGCTGGGACACAAAAGTGGCGAGGTCATTGATGACTGATTGACCTCTTTTCTCCTCATTAGCCGTGTAGAAAGCAAGCAGAAAATTCAGGAGTAGCTCCTGCAAGTGATGGCTTCTGCACCTCTCTCCTTATAACCCTCAGTTTTTCTTGGAAAAAAAATCAATTTTATCATTTGTCAACAAACACTGTCAAAGGATTTATTAAGATTCTGTATGTTAGAAGACAGCGTATTCAAACAGAAGGAATATGGTCCTTTAGAAACAGTCACAATTTTGGTGAAAGTATGTGTTGTATCCAGCCCAAATAAAATAAATGCTGAATTCTGATAGATTATTAAAGAGTTCAGAATGGTTTTGTACCCAAATTTCACAATAAAGAATCTTTTCACAGGTTGAAGGAGTTGTTCTATTCAGATAGTGTAAAACATAAATTCTCCTTGGATGAAGAATATCTCCAAACAGCCTTTTCTTTGTAAAATTTCTGCATTTTGTGGTTGTAATTCCTAAAACAGTGTGTTTATCTCATTGGGAATAGTATTGCAGTGTCCCTGGGAGTGTGACCGGGCCTGAATCTAGCCAAATTATTTGCTTCATCCCTTGCACAAAAGATTTTTGAGGCTCCCTGCCATCAGTTTTCCTGTGAAATGTGCCTACCACAGGATGGCCTGACCTGAACTCTTTGGCTTAAATATCTAGATCCACCAAACTTCTCAAAAATATCTTGTGTTGCACAGCGGTGGGTGTTCTCCTCTTCTGTCTTTCCTGCAGTTCCACAGAATAGGAAATCTTCGTGTTAAAAAAAATTAACGCTGCAATTTTTTTCAGTGATGGCACACACAGAGCCTTGGCACTGTCTTCTATCCATGCCTGTTTCATGTTTGCTGTTAAAGTGCCAGATATTCTGCTTTGCTATCTTTGCTTGAAAAGTCTTTTTATTGGTGCTGCTTTCCTGATCTCCGAACACCGCAGTAATGTAGTCATGCTTTTGTGTTCTGCTGTAGTTCCATATGCTTCTGCAAAAAAATTGCCTATGAACCAGCTCTTACCTCTGGCAAAGTACCCTCCTGGTGCAGTGTGATCTCAGGCTAAGCTTACACCGCAGCAATTTATTGCTGTGATTGTGAGGGCTAAAATAAAGGAGGCATCTGCCTTAGTACTACACAGTTCAAGTGCTCTAGCAGAAATTCAGGGGCATTAGCAGCCCTGTGTGCAGCTTCATTTGTTCACTGCCTGGGCTGTAACTTGCCCTTGCAGGTGTGATGTGTTCTCATGGCTGCATGCACATATCTTAGAATACTTGTTTTGCTGTGTCCACTCAAATAACTTTAAGTGTTTTTATTCAATCTATTTAAAAATACTCTTTTTGAAAAGGGGAATTGCTGGAGGGCTTCAGGGACAGGTCTTAATTTTATTTAAAAATGCAGGTGATTTAATACTGCCAGTGTTCTCAGTGACTGAAACACAGATCTATGATAGGTCATGATGGTGGTGGGTGGTTTGCTCCAAAAACATGTTTCTCTCCTTTTATATTATACTAAAAATAGAAGATTTACAAAACCATATATATTTAAACTCTTCTCTCTCCCTTTCTCTTTTGTCTCTTTTTTGGTTGCCAAATGCCTCTGCCATGTGCCAAAGCAAACATGTATTTTATCTCTTCAGGTATTTTATGCTGCCTTGGACCAAATCTACCATGGAAAACATCCTCTAAAAAAGTCAACCACAGAAATTTTAAAAGAAACACAGGAGAAAGTTTATGGATTGCCTTATGTACCTAATACAGTGAGTAGAAACATACTGACTGTATAAGCTACACCTTTTCTTTGACAGCATATTAATACCCCTACACCTCTCCCTGCCCCTTGCTCCATGCACGTACATTCTTACTGTTGTATTGTTATGTTGAAAGAGTTTTCTTTCTTTCAGGCATTTTATCCAGAGAGTAGGGTGTTGGAAATTTCAAAAATCAAAATTTAATTAATGTACCCATTTTTGTACAGGTGTAGCCTTGTCGTGCTGAACTTGATTGCTTTTTCTTCTATTTTCTTATTAAGGAAGGCACTGGAAACAATATATCAGCAAGAGGGTTTATTCTACCTTTGCAAGGGACTGTTTGTAAAAGGCAACAAAACTCTGTGCTGTGTGTTGGTGTTTGTATGCTGCCATTGTCAGCATGTGAGCACAAGTCAGCATGAAGTAGAACTTGGAAGTGAGTTTTTCTCACTGTACTGCTGTGACCTTTGGCATGTCGCTTATTTATCCATTCATGTGGTATCTGAAAGCATTAAAGCCTTGAGTTCTACCGAGCTATGTAGTTTTGACCTTCATCATGACTAACCATGCATTTGTTCTGTACTTCGTGTGACATCCAAAGGTGCAGTTCATGTAGATGATAGTCATGGGATTTCCTGGGCTGTCTGGAGCTGAATTCCCAGCAGTAACATGGCACGAATCACTGTTTGACACTTTAGTCAGAATACCCAGCTTTCTGCTTCTCAGGAAATATACTTTTCTCCTTAGCAAAAATGTGACTTTTGTTCTCTGAGAAGGGTATTAGGAGATGCATGCTTCAGCCCTTTCCTCGTCAAAACTGTATCTCATCTGCTGGCCTAGCGAAGCCAGAGAAGTGGGAGCAAGATCATAGAATCGTCGAATAGTTTGTATTGGAAGGGACCTTTAGAGGTCATCTAGTCCAACCCCCCTGCAGTGAGCAGGGACATCTTTATCTAGATCATGTTGCTCAAAGCCCCGTCCAACCTGGCCTTGAATGTTTCTCGGGGTGGGGGTTCCAGCACTTCTCTAGGCAGCCTCTTCCAGTGTTTCACCACCCTCATTGTAAAAAATGTCTTCCTTATATCTAGTGTAAATCTCCTGTCTTTTAGTTTAAAACCATTACTCCTTGTCCTATTGCAACAGGCCCTGCTAAAAAGATTGCCCCCATCTTTCTTAAAGGCCTTCTTTAAGTATTGAGAGGCTGCAGTGAGGTCTACTCGGAGCCTTCTCTTCTCCAGGCTGAACAGCCCCAGCTCTCTCTGCCTTTCCTTTCAAAATGAGGCACATAAACTACACCTAATGAGTAAATGCTGCTGTGCTGCTGTGGTGATACCTATTTTAAGGTAAACCAAAGCATCATCCTCAGCAAATACCATGTCTTATGTGTCAACAGTAGGAGACATAGTGGGAAGAAAATCCCATCTAAGTCTGTATTTGCCATTCAGATACGTTTTATAGGCACTGGGGCAGTTGGCACTGCGTGGAGTAGTATTTACATTGGCTGCATTGAGACAGACGGTTGCAGAAGCTGGTGCCACATGCAAGGCAGAAAGGAAGAGTGGAGCAGACTGTAGACAGACAGAAGCACAGAGAAACAGCACTCTGTGAGACTTTGTTTTCCCGAAGAGTGCAAATCTCCATTTCTGGCTGGCCATTGCTTGTCTGTTCAAAAGTACACAGGGTTTGCTGCTGGCTCCTGGAGGGTGAAATTCCATCGGGATTTATTTGCTCTATTACTGAATCCAGAAGCTGAAGACTGCCAGGCAGGGGGCAAGGAAATATATCTGCCTGTTTTTGTAGTGTCTGCCGGTTTTGTTGCCAGAGGAGATTTGTGTTACTGAGTTTGGAAAATGAATAGAAATTTTGCACGGGCTGGATTCTTGAGTCCTTGTGATGCCTTTAAAAAGCAATCAGTCTTCCTTTTGACTCTTCTAAGAAAGCAAGATAGACCAAATAATAATGACCACACATTTTCTTGCCATTTCTTCCTGAATGTACCTGGTGTCAAAATCTGTACGCTGTGGGGAATTCAGTACTCTGCTTTTGCTCCAAACTTTTCTTCAAATCATAGCTTATTTGTCATCTCTTGTGAAGCCTGCCTTGCAATTGATAACAGTGTCTGCTTTTAGAGTGTTTCCCCATGTCTCTTCTACCTTTGTCTCCGGGATGCCCAGAGAGGCTTTTTAAAAAGTATCAGGTGACCCTTTGATCAACCTGAGACATGTTCAAAGTTTCTCCTCATGATCTGTTGCTTAGTCCTCTGCCTGTCCCCCAAGTTCAGACTTGAAAACTACTTTCCTTTGAGACAGTCATCAAAACTTAACGATATGCCATTGTTAGTCCTGCTCCAAGCATAATAATTCCTATCTCCTGCTGTGGGTTTCAGTTCAATATCATAACAAAAAATGAGACACAAGGTAAACAGACTCTGCATGATAGTGGAGATTGCAGCCTCCTGCAGTTATAGGAAAGAACTCCCAATAATGAAGTGATTTTACAATAAACACCATCTGCCCAAATCATCATACCTGAATTTTCTTTGTGAAATATCGAATTAGTTTCAATTATTGATTCTTATTTTCAGAAAATTATTGCGGACTTAGATATTAATTGTCTGTCTCTCATAGTAACCGTTCTTCATTCTAACCTGGAAGTTGGGTGGGAGATGCTGGTTTGAGCTGTGACTGTGAGGAAAAATGGTTTTGAAGCGTGAGACGCAGTGAATCTGGGTTCTTTTTTGAACGGCTGCCAAATAGTCCCTTTGGCATTTTTTGAAATTATGTGGCCTTCTGGTAAGCTGTTCTTCCAGAAACAGAAGAATTTCTTGTGCGGTACTTGAATACAAAGTGCAATGTTGTAATTAACCCACAGACATCATTATAGTTACATTTTTAATAGGAGGGAACATGTTGGTATGTAGAGAGCCTTTTGATATTTTTTTTTGAATGCTAAAAAGTTTGCTATATACCTTTTTGCTCTAGCTTGTGAAGTACATACCAGTGCAGAAGGAGCACCTCACTGGTGGCCTAAAATTTACATCAGGTTACGGGTTTAATTATGCTCATATACTTTTGTCCAGAGTGCAGGTTTTTTTGGCATCATGAGAACTTATTAATGGCCTATGGATGGTAGTGGTTGGAGAAACCAAAACACCTGTGAGACCAAATACATTTGCCAGCCAAGTTTGCCAGCCGAAAACAAGGCAGGTATTGTTATGGATACCCTAGAGGGAAGAAGTGTATGAAAAACCGTGCATCACCAATGTGGTTGTTAGTCTTTCTTCTTCCTGCAGCTGGAGGTACTCTGCCCAGACAGGGATCCTGACCTCGGAAGGCTCCACCTAGGTCCTTGTCTTAACTTGCTGGAATTGTGTCTGTCATGTTCCTGACAAAGGAAATAAACGTCTGAGGTGCAATCTAATATTTGGAGTGCTTGCTCAGGGAGGCTGTCAGGCACTACAGGAAGACGTGGCTTGCCATGGGTGCTGAGAACAAAAGGGTTTCATTAACAGGGCACATGGGAGGCACAAAGGCATGTGGGAGGTTGGTCAGCTGAAGAGGAGACTGAGAGAACTAGCTTCTCTGCAGAGAGAAAATAGTTTCTGCATCACACGTTACCATGTGTCCAAGCTCCCTTTTTATTTTTTTGAAGAACAACTGAGAGCAAAAGGGCAGCTGTATGCCTCTTTTCCTTCCTAGGAGCCTTTTCTTAGGAGTTTGAAGGTGACCTGACCTCATGCTTAGTTGTGATAGGTAAGCCAGAGGCCAAAAATTGAGATAGTGTGGTTTCTGTAAGTTCAGTATCTCAGTCTTGCGATCGTGATCGCTGTCAGTAGTGGTGTCACAGGGAAGAGGAGAGTATTGTTTTTAATAGGCCTATTCCTCAGCCTACTGAGGGCTGGCTGGCAGTTTGAGTGAAGTATCTTGTTATTGAATCTGCCATCTGTGTCATTGTGGCATCTGTTGTCTTAGTAAGATTTCTTGTTAGGTCTTTGGGGTGACTACTAATGTGTAGTTGTAACTCTGGTCCTGTATAACATTTTATGTGAATATCAGTAACACCACATAAAAGAGTAAATAGTCAGACTGGGCAAGTGATGAAGTAGCTGTCTTAAAATAAAGAAGCGATAACCCTTAACCTCTGAAGGTAAAAGTGGTTTTGAATTCTGAAAACTTTACTCAAGTGATGAACATAAATCTTGAAATTATTGGTAAGAAAGGCTAAGTAGTGGCTGGCTATTAAATTTTAAACTGTGGTTTCACTTCATATTTATTTTATCTAAAATATTCTCAAATTTGTCTTAGATTTATTAAGTTAAACTAATGTAACCTTAAAACCTAAGCAAAAGTGAAAGCTAGGTTAAAGGAAATGAAAAAGAACAGCTAAAAGGTAGAATTGGTGCTGTTGGGA